ATGTGAGATATTGACACACAATTTGTTTGGTTACTTTACATAACTAACTCTTTGTCTTCATACAAAACATACGATTATATAGAAAAGATAGACATTGAACAGCGATCACTCGTAGGGGTTGCACCACAAGAGAAGAGTCACAAGGTTAAATGTATAGGGAAAGAGATAGATGAGGATAATACATATTGCTAAAAATATCACGTATTTTTCTTTGATTAGTTCAAAGTTAGACAAGTAAAATGTGATCATGGTTACATTTGAATACGATCACTATTTCGATTGCAAACAATTCTGTTCACACTTATACATAATCAAATGTTTAGCTTTTTCAGACAAGTTACATCATTTCCATTTGAAAGTGTAACAATATGGCCAAGAAAAAATCGCAAAATGAACTTGTCGTACGTTTATGAATGAAATGAACAAAATTCAAGTATTAATGATTACACTAAAACTACATTTCTTTCACATATATATTCGACACGATTATTGCATTCCATTCATCATTATTTTACGATTAATAGCAATGTATATCTGTCAGATATTTTTCCAAAACATTTTCAAATAATCTCAAATTCTTTTTATTGATACATAAAAAAAATATCACAGATAGAATTAGAAGAAAAATTTCTTTACAATAAGAGAGAGAGAGATAAGAAATTAAACATTCTATGATTCAAGTCAAAAAAATATTTCTAGTTCCATATTTTTCCAATGATGAACAATAAAGAAAGAAATTTTTTGAATATACTAGTGTTGTTTCAGTTGTATCAAAAGTAATATGTTTTAATTTTGCACATTTGGCATGAGCAGCTGCATTTGTAAAATTATTTGTTACACATTTCAATTCATCATAATTAACATGTAATTTGTTAAGACGAGGTAAACGCATATTTGAATCAAGAAGAAATTGTTTGACATAATCAATATTTCCAAGAAAAAAACTAAGTTCCACAAGATGAGGATATATAATAATAAATGATGTTTTATCAAGTTCACTAGGTTGGTGTATGAACTTCTTTTTCTGTGAATGCCTATTGGATATTTCCAAGCTAATAAGTAATGGAAAAGACAATGAGATTCGAGCAAAAAAATAATGTTCAAATGGATGAAGTGAATCAGTCACAAAAAGACGACGAACATTCATGAAGAGACCACCAGGAAAATTGTTAGTAATCGAATGCATATGCTCCATATTAAACGGAAGCGAATAAATATGGCATCGACCTTCTTCGCTTTTATAATAATCGATATAACAATCCATATGATAGCCACTTTGAATGAATGTACGTCGAATATCATTACATGACGGTAGTAATTCGGCCTTCAACTGAAAGCATGCAGTAACGATATCAAAAATAAATGATTGTAAATGTGACATGTTTTTTAATATATCATTATACAATTGAGTACCATCAATAAATGATGTTCGGTTTATAACATCAAGTGATAATGTGAGTTTCTCCAATTGTGACATTTGTTGAAGAAGTGGTACAATTTGACTATCATATTCAATTGTTTCATCAGGTGAAAACAATGAGAAACATTTCAAATTCGACACAATTTTCTACAAAAAGAAATTAATAACAAGTCATATCGAATTAGTTATTCATAGTTCTTCAGTCATCTTCTTCTACTCATAAACTACCGAAATAACTCTCGAGCTAATATATCAAAACAGTACATTCTGATACTGACAGTTCAATTTCACAATATTCACGTTAAGAGAAATATTCTAAATCTGTATTTCATATTACACAAAGACAAAAAAAGAAACTTTTTAACTTTAAGAGAATATATTTAAAAAAAAAATTGTTCGCACAGATCCTTTGTGGCTAAAAGGTTCAATTTACATATCTATACCTTCATTATACTAATAAGAAATACATAAAATGAAAAATCTCCAACACACGATAGTTACTTTCCTAAGATCATCGATTGTCAGAGAATCATTTCTCTTATTTAATTTCTGGATTTCAAAAACTTTTTTCTTTGTCTTCTTGTTATTGATGTTATTTTTTTATTCAGTTTCTCTTAATTCTTTTTCTTCTAGCAAATGTCTGTCACGTGTATGAAGGTAAGGGAAGTCGGAAAATTTCTACTTAAAACTTCTACTCTCTATTTTGCTTCGTAAAATATGCGAGTTTCACAAAAGAAAACTTAACAAACATACAAGAACAAAAAAAGACAATGAAAAAGTATTTCTTTCTCGAATATAACTAATAATTGAGAAAGAAATAGCAACATTCTACGACTGTCTTTCAGTCAGATCTTTTACTTTTTGCATGAAATCGGTGTTTCGATCATACTTGCTTAATTATGTGTATGAATTGAACTATTTTCCTCATTGAAGACAAACAAAATGTACATTATATTATCATTAAATATTATTGTTTAAAAGTTATTTCATATATTAGTCTTTTATGAGATCTTCTATAGGAAAATGCTTTCAGATAGACATCATCATAATTAGATCTGCCAAATAGATTCTACTCTATCAAAAATCAATCATAAGATACTCAATTTTCTTAGAAATCGAAATAAATTTATTGTCTATGATTGAAAATTTTTTACCTTATTATTTATAATTTGTGATGAATTCTCGATAATTTCAACTTTTACAATAACTGTATGTAATTGATTGAAACGTCCATCAAATAAACAAAGACAGTCATTAAAATATTGTACAGTAACATTCAAATAATTAATACTTGTTGAATAAAATATTGTAGATGATAAATTAATAAGTGATACTGGCGAATATTCAAAATGATCTTCGAAACCAAATTCGAAATGATTTAGATTGGTGAATATAGTAAAAATATTAGCAAAAACATTTGTAGCTACATGCTTTTTTTTTGAAAATTTAATATGATTAGTCTTTATGATAAGATGCAAAATTTGATGTTTGAACATATGAATAAATGATGATTCGTCTAAATATATCGATTTAGTTTGATTATTTAAAGATGAAGAGAATACACAACATACCATTGAAAATATGACATGCCATTTTAAGTGGAAGATTAACAAGAGTAAGTTTCCATAATTTAAGATAATTTCCAATGCAAAGAACACGACCAATTGATAATCGATCAAGAGTCAATGATTCAATATTGTGTTGAATTCGAGGTATTATATCAAAACAGAATCGATCCAATATTGACTTTGTTTTTGACTTACTCTTTTTATTTGATAATATTTTCACCAAATCAATAGACCGTGTAAATGTAATATCTCGAGCTAATTGATCGAGTTTTTTATTAACACCTATCACTGAATATAATACATCAACATTATTAAGTTTCATCAAAATAGTAAGTAACATTTCGTCGCTTAAAGCACTGATGCTAATTGTTGAATGGTTCATGTTTAATTAGAAAAATGTGAATTGGACGCGCATATATATATATCTGTTCATTCAAAAGCATATTTGACATCGTCAACAATGGCAATGTTAAACAAGTCGACAGTGTACAATGTGGCCTTTGTTCATAGTCAAGTTCGTTCATATATGAACAAGGATGCTTTGTGAGGGCTAAATAACAATTGATTAGTTTATTTAATCATGTTATATTTTATAATTATAAAGACATAGAGTACGAAGGTATGATGCGGCACAGACTTTTGATCTTTCACCTTGTAATGTTCATAATTTTTTTGCTTTGAATGATAGAAAAAAATTTTGGACACAAAGTTTGTAGAGAAAACAGTTCTTTATCGAATAGTTTTTTTTAGTTTTTCAAAATCTCTTTTAGTAACGTTTTCACGGTCGTTTTAGTGAGATCTACTAGAATCTGTGCCGAATTATCTCGCATACACTGATTTGCCAATCCTCTATACATTTTCATGCATTAACAATAAAACCTCTTTTTTTTTGTGGAACTCACATAGAAAAATATGAGTGTAAGTTTTATGTCGAAGTTTTCCAGCTCCCACCCACCCTTACAGACAGTTACCTTTGGTTACCGACAGGCGCGATATAGTTATTGGTTGGTATATCTTGTGGCTTCGCTTAATTGATTATTATACATTTGCCAGATTATTTTAGTTTGTTGCATTTTATTATAATAAATTAAAATGAATAATATTAATAATAGTCTAAAAATACAGATGATATCTGCATAATATTAATCTATTAGAAGATCAATATCAACTAGAACAAAAGTATCGTTAAAGAAAAAACCAAGTAGTGAGAGGATGGAGAAGAGCATATAGGTGCTACTTCTTTTGAAGATTGATAGATATTTCGAAATATCATATTTGTTTATTTTTAATTTTATTATTCAACGAAAGTAAATTATTAGAGAAGGGAAAAATAGATGTAAAGAATACCTACGGATATTAGATTTTAATTCAATATTTCCCAAAAAAAAACTTTTCTGATATGAATATGTCAACGACTTCTCTTACATGTTTCATATAAGATGTAATTACCAACCAAATATTGTAAACAAAAAAAGACCTTATTCAATGTGTTCAGTTAACGAACAACAATCTATTTAATTAAAGTTTTCTAAATTGTAAATGACTAATTTATACAGCACATTATATCAATCAAATCTCTCAATTAGTTTCGTTAATAAATTATAAGAACGAATAAAATAAGTAGAAATAATTTCAAATATCAATGAAAATTGAAAAGCTTCATACATATAAACAATTCAATGATATACTGATTATGGAAATAGATACAAACAAATAAAAATTTAGTTATCAATTTGTACCTGATCAAAATCTCTTTACATTATTTTAAATATAGATAATTGAATAAAATAATCATACAAGGAAATGATCAAATGTTATAATTATTTTTCAAGATTTTATTTTGAAAACATTTCAGACAATCTATCAAAATTTACCTGAATATTCACCTAACCTTTACAATCATACAAAAAAAAAGTTGAAATAATCTTTGTCAAATCAAATAAAAATGACTTAAAAAATATATTTTCATTTCAACTTTATTTAAACAAAAATAAATCTATATATATATATAATTATGATAATCTAATTTCTACAGATTCTTTATTCCTGTTAATTGTAATCTTATGTTCATCAATAATATTAAAACCAAATGCTTGACGACGTTTATTAATAATATAATTAAGTGAAAAAGAATGATCGAGTAATGAAACTTCAATATAATAAATTTTAAGATAAGACAAATTTTTTAGATGACTAAGTAATATATCAATAGCATATATACAATCATCGAATGAATATACTTGAAGTTCAATATCAGTAAGTGATGGAAAACGTTGAACAAATTTTAATGAAAAATCTGAAGGTACATAACAATTTTCTGTTATTGATTTAAGTATTTTAATTTGTTTAAAAATTGAAAAAAGAGATTGATTATCAATAAATTCTGATAAAACCAAATCTGAAGGATTAAGTTAAAGATCAATCACATTTGGACATGCTCTAAAAAAGAACACAGAAAAATAAAATATATTTAATATCAATGATTATTCTTCTACAGAATTTAATATCATCAATTATCTGATATAAAATGAAATTATTCATTGAGAAAAGCATATTAGAACTATCAAAAATAACTCATAGATTTAGAAATCGAAATAGCAAAACACTCACCAGAGACCGAAACGGGGCGGGGAATCGAGGCGGGGCCCCGGGGCTGGGAGCATTTTTGTTGGACGGGGCGGGGGCGGAGAGAGAATTTGAGAAGAAAAGCGAGGCGAGGCGGGGACGGGGTGACCAAAAAAATTATAGGTCGGGGTGAGGCGGGGACGGGGCGACCAAAAAGTTTTAGGTCGGGGCGAGGCTGGGTGGGGCCTGGAAGAATGATGTAGAGTTCCGTAAAACTTTCTTATTTTTCGATTTTACACCGAAAATTCATGTGTGCGAAAACGAAAAGTCGGGGCGGGGCGGGGTCGAGGAAGCAAAAAAAATATAGAGCGGGGAGGGGCGGGGGCAGGGAAGAAAAAAAAATAACGAGCGGGGCGAGGCGGGGTCGGGGAGAGAAAGTTTCCGACGGGGCGAGGCGGGGAGTAAAAAATCCGCCCCGTTTCGATCTCTGACACTCACATCCTCTTACCAATATTCAATGAATTGTTCAACCATGTTGAATATGCTTTTGGGTAATAATATATGACCAGATATTTGGATATGTTGAAATAATGGAACAGAAGTAAATCTTGATGTTATCTTTCTCATATCCAATTTTAAATAGTTTGTGTCTGAATAATAAAGATAATGATCATTTGTTGTTGCTTTTGTTGATCGTGTCTCAAATGATTCATAATTAATCATTGGAATGGTTATATGAACGTTTCTTTTATATTTCTGATAACCAAATGTGCGTAACATAACAATCTCTTCTATTAAAAAAAATTTAGTTCAGAATAAATAGATTCTCATAGATGAATTGTGTCTTCATTCTCAAATAATTGTTTCTCTGTATATTGCTTTTCATACTTTATAAATATTCGATTCTTCTTCCTATCAAAGTTAATTTTTGTTAAAAAAACCTATTTTAAAGTAGATATATAGTTGTAAAGTCTGACACACGAGAATTTCACAATCAATCTGACAGTTGATTGATACATTACTTGTATAATAGATTTTGAATATTTTTCTCCTCTTTTCTAATAAAAGAAAAGGAATCATTTTCTCTAACATAGTCAAATATATGTCAGTTACCAATAAAAATATTTCATCTAACTAGTATTTTTTGTCATACTTGAAAATATGTCCATAAAAAGGCTTCCATTTGTGCTGCTTTTTTTTCTGACTAGATGAACTTCTGAACTCTTTCTTTCATATAAAATGTAATTATCAATGCCTGTAGACTAATGATTTCTGTCGAACAAGAAAGCAAATTATTTTTTAAGATAATCACTATCAGAGATATGTGGACTATTTGACAAAAAACTATTTTTATCTTTTTCTTCTTTGATAAGTATCTCATGAATGTGCACTCCTACTGAGTTCGAAATCGTACTAGAGTCCTTTTACTAGAGTCTTAACCTGAAGTTTGTTTTATTTCTGTACATTGCCTGTAATAAGAGAATGGACTAAAATTCATCTTATGATTGCATTTCTATTTGATGTCAAGTTTTCTATATTCTTTCTTTCCTATTTAAAGCAATTTTACTTATCTGTATGTCTAGTCTGAGGTGTCCATCGATCAGTAATCATGTACCATTTGAAATATTTTTTAACAAAATATTGAAATGAATTTACTACTAGATCTAAATCTAATTTTGAATATTTTTTTCTCTATTGAAATATGAATATCAAATTTCGATAAAAATCGAGTATTCTTTTCAAACATATGATGCCATGTGTAACCATTGATCAAATCATGAGCAAATGACTGAGCTATTGTTCGTGTTCCATGAAGAAACTTAAAACGAATAAGATTAGGCATACAACGTAAGATATAAGTGATTGAACGAATATCAAATATAGCAAAAATTGATAAGTCCAAAGATATCGATTGTGGTGATATAGGAAGATTATTTTCATTAATAAATGGTTCTTGAATTGAAATACTAAAAACAAATAGAAAAGATTATATTTTCAATTTTATTCTATAAAGAATATTCGTCAGATATTTTCATTGCAACTTACTTTACATTATTATTTTGAGATAGAATTTCATGTTTTATTATGGCATGTAGATATTGTATTCTATGACAAACACGAAGAATTGTCAAAATTGAATAAATTTATACTTTATTTGGTGAACCAGATATTAACAATTCAAATGATATAAGATTCGAAGCAATTGAAGTATAAGTTGATATATCCAAGTAATAATAATCATAATGAAGCTTAACTGAACAAAGAGAAAATGATTTATTCATCAATATAGTTCGAGTTATATCATATTTGTCTTTCTCATTAATTTTTGTTAAAATCTGATTGAATAATAAAAAATGAAAAAAGTCTATTTAAACTTTCAATTTGTTTAATAAGATTTTCAAGTTCAGATGATATATTATCCAATATAAATATACATGAATGAAGATTAACAAAATGTTGTTGATTAAATAGTAGACTAATAATAGATGAACGATTACGAATTGTATCATAACATTTTAGTAATATGACTTGATGAGCATGAAAAATAAGATGATGAGAAAGAAAATCAATTTCTCGATCATAATCACTATTTCAGATGACAATATGAAGTGGAATTGATTGTAGAAGAGACAAAATTCGTTTATTTAATGAATAAAAACTAGTAAATATCCCAAGTGCATGTAAATAATCAAATATTTCGATGAAAATTTCATTTGATAAATCTTCTAAATGTGTACATGTATCCATTTGTTTAATTGACAAGAATAAAAGATGGTAATATAGTCGTTCGGTAATTCAGTTTGTTATGTATAAAGAATATATCAAATGATAGAGCAAGTGATAGACAGGATATTATTATATACTTTACCATAGGCAGTTTATGAACAATATAGACGATGAAATAATATGAAAAATGAAATTGATTATCGATTTATGGATCAAGCACATTAATTTAATATTGGTGTTTCTATGTAACAACGATAATTATATTGATTAATTCATCTTGAATTAAGTCAATTCGATTGACCCTTTATCTTTATATGTGAAACAAAGACATTTAGAAAAGAAATGTTAATGATATCAACTCGTCTAATTATTATTATTTTATTGGTTATATAATATTAAAAAGAAGAAGAATGATAGAAAAAGAAATAAGTGATCTTCTTCGTAGAGTGTAGAGTATATATATTCAATTCGTATGTATAATTCATTGACATACAAAAATTATTTATTTATAGCACGATTCTTTTTAAAGAATAAAAAAAACAAAAACACCAGTTCATTAGGATGTCTTAATAACTTAAAATAAAATTAATCATTTAGAATTTTTAATGATTATTTATTTTTTTTTCACAGCGTATCAGCGCTGAAAGCGTGCCAGTAAATACCGGAAATATGCCGGTTGAAATTTAAAAAATATTATGTGTACCTATCTCTTATTTTTCAAAGAAAAAGCAATGTATTTTACTTTCGAGTAGAACAACTACTCGAGTAATGTACATATTTATATAGAAAGTTTTCTGATAATGCCAATATTTAAAATTTTGTTGTCTATAATGAATATTTATTGCGATATTTGCAATACTATGGTAAACATGAAAATATTCAGTTATGTCTTTTGTTAGAAGGAAGAAAAATCAACAAATATTCTTGAGGTTTTTCAAGGTGAAATCTCCTTGAAAACTTGATGTAGTTTTATTCGTAATAAGGACAGAAAATGATATCAACTCATCTTCAAGATCATTCAT